CTTCCCCATTCTGTACTCATCAGTTCCAGCACTCGTCGCCAGTTCCGGAACCAGTCGACGTTGAGAACCGAGGTACCACTGCACGTGTATCAAGATGGCTAACTCTCATAAACATGCAGTTTAGAATAAAAGGAACTCTGCAAAAAAAAAAAAGAATATACACAAGGGAGGACCCCCCCAAAAACCAGAATGACCTTCTGGAGGGTGGGCCCCTTGTAGCACAGGCTTCTCCCTTGAGGTGTGTGTTCTAGGAATCCATCTTACCAGTGCACCAGCTGGCGTTGTTGTGAGAGGCTGCGTTCAGTCTCAGTGAATTTTTTGTGAAGACTCTTTCAATGCATTTGCCCATGTCATGATGGGTGATGTACAAGTGCAACTGCCCACCCCACGCAGTTAGTGTTCAGCAGTTCTTGACCAAAAGTGGCATGACCCCTATGCCCTATCCTCCCCATTCACCTGATCTCACCCCAAGCAACTTTTGTTTGTTTCCCTGGTTGAAAAAAGTCCTCAAAGGGAAATGTTTTGTCAATATGGAAGATGTGAAACAAAAAAAATGCCAGAAGCCCTAAAAGGCATCAAAATCAAACAGTTCAAAAACTGTTTTTGAGCAGTGGAAAAAAAACCATCTCGATAGGTGTATTGTATCAAATAGAGAGTGCTCTGAAGGTGATTGGAATTTAAACATGTAAAAATAAATACACAATTTTTTATAAATAAATCCTGTGTTTGGGGGGTCCCCAAATATACATTAAATACTGTATATTATATACATTAAATGCTGTATAATATATATTAAAACTGTAAAAAAGTGCACAGAAAAAATAAACATGAAGTTCAGGATAGCGATTACCTTGCAGGGAGTGTGGTGCAGTGGGTGGCTTCGGTTTTACCTGGGATGGCACAGGGCGAAGCCTTCGTGGTAGAAGCGGAAGTACTTAGGTCCAAGGTCAGGCCCCATCATTTGAGCCAGTGGACTGACACTTCCCTGCAGTGTCTCAGCCCCACTGTCGGTACAGCGAGTAGCACCAATGCGCATCTCGTATCTCGTGTGATGGCCGAGTGATGTCATGGATGTAAAGCGCCAGTGCAGTGCCCAGCATGTAGGAAATGCTCTTCAAGGCTTTGGTATTATTTCATAAGGAATAATAAAACAAGGTTGGATTAAAAATAGGGCAAAATGTTAATAGTGGGGAGAGTTTGAGGGTAGATACGAAGGTACTCATTATATTCTTCTATGCATCTCTAATGCTTAAAATATTTTGTTATTGTAGAAAATACAATGACAAAGGTAAACGGCAAGCCAGGAAAATTGTTGCAGTGCGTAGCGTCGACGAAGAGATTATACCCTAACTATATAAAGTGTTATTTACAAGCAACAACAACAAAAAAAGACAAATACTCTAATAGAAAAAATAAGCAAAGACCAGGAATAGGCAATATCACAGACGAATAAATACACAAGTCAAAGAAACGCCCACCGAAACGACCATAAAATGGGGCCTGTGCCCAGTATTAGGGTGCCTATGGAGAAGCAGTCACATGCAACTCATGGAATTAGTTAAAAACTGTCTCTGAGCGTCACTGAGCAGTATTATGTGTCGGACTCTCTAGCTAGGGCACATCTGTGTGTACAGTGGAATGTCCCAGAACTGTTTTAAAAAAGTAAGAAAGAAAGAAAAAGAAAATGATGCCGTAGTCAGGGGTGTCGAACCTGTGGGTGCCTCTGGGCCACCCTGGAAGAAGAAGAGTTGTCTTGAGCACTTTGTGACACGTAATCACCCCAAAATCTCATACTGTTTTAAGTACATTTACGATTTCATGTTGGGCCACATTGACAGCCATCCTGGGCTGCATGCAGCCCGCAGGCCTCGGGTTGGACACCCCTGCACGTTAGGCCCTATTTAATTGGTGTGGAAGGATATGCATAAAGTGCCATATTTTTAAAAGCCAGTTTACAGTATGGACAGCATGGGCCCGTTAAAGACATATGCCAAGGTCCCCCCAAAGTCCGCCCCCTTCCTGGAGAGCCTCCATTAGCACCATGGATCAGTGGACCAGCCACCAGGGGAAACGGGTGCCCCACTCACGCTCCGTCTGCCGGGCCCCCGGGAGCCTGCGCGTCCCATGGAGCGTGTGTATCTGAAGGCCGCCGCTGCCCGGGCCTGGAACCCCCAGCCGCTCGGCCCCGTACAGCTAATGCTGCCGGCGGCCACAACAATCGCTCTCTTGTAGGAGCATCCACTTTGCATCCATTAGCTCTAACTCTTAGAAAGCTCCTATGGAGCTATTATTATCCCCGTTTGCCATATGAGGACACTCAAGGCTCAGAGAGTTGAAGGAACTGGCCCAGATCACACAGGGACACCCCGTGCTTTGGGACCGGGTCCGCCTGCCGTTCTCTGCACGTCCTGAACCGCCCAGCACTGACCACCGGGCCTCAGGAAGCCTGGGCTGATCCTCTGGACGGGGGAGGTCTGGTTCCAAGATCCATGTGCTTCTAAAGCAGTTGCCCACATGTTAGAATCACCTCGATGTTTCTTTCCATCTCGACTCCTGAGCTGCAATTTAACTCGAATCGCTGCGGGTAACGACCCAGGTATCAGCATTGTTGAAACTCCCTAGCTGATTCTAAAGGGCACCAAGTCTGAGGCCCAGGGTTAGCACTTGTCAAACTTCTCATCTCCTGGGGATCTAGGTCCAAGTGCAGATTCTGGCTCTGCAGGCCCAGGGTCTTCCAGATCCTGCCTCCCCAAAGAGCTCCCGGTGACGCTGTTGGTCCTTTCGCTCCTCACCTCCCCAAAGGCATCCCCCACGAGCCTCTGTCGTCTTTTCTATCTTCTTCTCCTGACTTCTGGCACCCCTTAGTATCTGCTACCTTGCCGCCAAAATAGCCGTGACCCTGGGCCAAGCAAGGCCGGAGATCTTTCTGAGCTCCTTTCCTCCCAAGTGAGCATTCACGCCCCAAAGCCTCGCAGACAGGCCTTGGGAACACGCACAAGGGGGCTGGCACTGTTCAAGGTGCAGGAAGACAGGAAAGGTTCCTCCTGCTGCGGAGCTCGCGGCCCAACTCAGAGGAGATCCAGCAAACAGAGGCATGGCTACGTATGTGCACATCAGATGCAGGTGTGTGAGGGAACGGACAATAAAGCGAGGAGAGGAATGAGCCGTGTGGTAGGAGGGGCCACGATGTGAAGTGCCAGGAAGGTTCACTCATTAGGTGGCTTTTGAGCAGAGACCTGAAGGGAGTTGAGTCCGTGGATTGGGGGGGGGGGGGAGGGGGGCGGCGGTGATCCACGGAAGCTGGGCAGCAAGGGCAAAGGCCCTGAGGAGGAGACAGCAGGCAGGGAAGTTGACTAGAAGAGTGGTGGAGACGGGGTCAGAGGGATGGGGAAGGTGTGGGTGCTCACCCCAGACACAGGCTTGGGTGCCGGGGGAGGGGATGGAACCCAAGGACGCCTCTCCATCTGTTGGGGCAGCTCAGGAACTTGAGCTGAGGCTGAAGGATTTGGGGCCCTCGCTGCCCCAAGACCCCAGCTTCGAGAGGAACCGTTCCCTCTGGGCACAAGCACTAACAAGGCCACTGAAGCCAGGAGGGTGGGGCGGGCAGGAGGTGCCCTGTGTGACAGTGCAGAGGTGCCCAGCTGCCTGCCATCCTGGGCCAACAGCCATCCCCTGCCTACGGCCGCTGGGGCACACCTGAGCAGAGAGAGGGGGACAGGGTTGGTTCTGGGGTGACCAGCGGGTGCCTCTCCTTCTCTCCTTGCAGCGCAGAGCACTCTCAGGGTAGGTGCCAGTGGCAGGGTGCCCACTTCTGACTGCTGACCCCAGCAAGTGCCTCAGCTGTGACCTTTCCTCTCACCTTCACCCCTCCCCTCCCTATGACTACTGCTGGTCAGGCACTACCCTCAGGGTTGGCCTGGCCCCCTGACCTCAGTGCTCCCTGCAGAAGACCTCAGTGCCCCCCACTCCCCCACAAATAACCTCCAGCTCCTCCACAAGGCCAGGGAGGCATGTGAGCAGACCCCAACTTCCCTCCGGCCGCATGCTCACGGGATGTCCCCTCCTCCTCTTGGAACAATGGTCCCATAGTAGCAGCTGGCACACTTCGGGGCATTTGGCCATGTCCATGGCTGCCTGGCCTGCCACGGCATGGGCTCCTTGACCAAGGGTCTCTGCTGGCCAGGTCTGGGCAGCTCAGGGCTCGTGAGTCCATGAACCAGGTAAAGCCCAGTGACCTCTGCCCCACTCAGAACTGTTTCCCGAAGAGAGAGGCGGTCACCCTGAATCTTGAAGGATGGCACTGAGCTCACCTCTGGTTCCCGAACTCACTAGCTGCACGACCCGAGAGAAGTTACTTAACCTCTCAGAGCCTCAGTTTCCTGACCTGTAAGAGAGGGATAATGGTACTTTCCTTATCGAGTTGTTGCACAGATTAAAAGAAGCAGCATATGCAAAGCATTCTAGCCCACCCAGCTCTTAGGACACAGTCAGGTCCCCAGGAAGTGGTGGCTGGTCACCACTGCGGTGAGAAGAGTCCAGAGTGTGGGCGAGGAGGGGGCAGGCACAGCACAGACAGAGGTCTGAGCCACGAGAGCCATGGGTGTCCGTGAGAATGCGTGTATTCAGCAAGTGTGGAGCGAGGGCATGTCCTGTGGCAACCGAGGCTGGGCGGAGTCTGAGGCTGGGTCCCCTGCCCTCAGGTGCTTCCTAAACTGAGTCTCTGCAGAGCCCCCAATGGGCCCGGCTGTTTCTGAGGGACAGGCTGGCAGGTCATGCTCGGTGAGCCACGGAGAGGGCCAGGGGCATCAGGCCAGAGGTAGCCCCTCAGGGGCTAGGCCACGGCCAAGCGAACCCCCACTGGGGACCCGGCTGTAGGCAGAGCTGGCAGCCCAGAAGGGAGACTCTGCTGGAGCAAGCGTCAGGAGGCAGGGTGCCCCTGGTGGCCAGAGGGTCTGTCCAGCCCAAATGTGGGGAACCCCTGATTTCCACTCCCTCCCCAGGTCTTCACGGGGATCTTCACAGCAGAGATGACCTTCAAGATCATCGCCCTCGACCCCTACTACTACTTCCAGCAGGGCTGGAACATCTTCGACAGCATCATCGTCATCCTCAGCCTCATGGAGTTGGGCCTGTCCCGCATGGGCAACCTGTCGGTGCTGCGCTCCTTCCGCCTGGTACCCGCCCGGGCCCTGCAGGGGGGCGGGGGGTGGGGCACCGAGGCGCATCTCCCTTCCACGTGACCGCTCAGTCACCCCAAGTCTGAGCTTTTGTGCCTTCGCCCAACAGCTATTGGCTAGGTACCCCTGGGTACCAGGCCCAGTGCTGGTGATGCAGGGGGACCCAGAGGTGGGCAGGACAGAAGGAAATCTCCCTCCAGCCCTTTACGATTCACCATGACCCCTTAGGTCCTCCCAGGATCCCAGGAGTGGGGCCAGTGTTACTAAATCCCCATTGCAGACAAGGGGACTAAGGCTCAGGGAGGCTGTCACTATGGTAGTTGTGGTGGAAGTCCCTGCTGTCCTGTTGTGAGGGATCCAGGCCTTTGCTACCGTGACCACCCGTCCATCAAGGGCAAGTGCATCTTGCCTTGTGTCTTTACAATGTGGGGAATTCCAGAGCTGAAGGAGCTCAAAATCTAAATGCCAAAGAAGGGGCCTTTGGAAGAGGCAAGGTTCAGGTGAGTTCAGGAAGAAGTCAGAAATAATTTCCCAAAGCCACATGGCGAGTGGCAGGTGGAGCCAGGTCTGCTGACAGCTCATCCAGGGTTCTGCCTGCTGGTTTCAGAATTTGTAATTTGGAAACAGATGCACACACAAATCACCCAGGGCTCCTGTTAAACTGTGGCTGACGGTTCAGTAACTCTCGGGTGATGCCGGAGCTCCTGGTCTGCAGACCTTGCTTTAAAGCTCAAAGTGCCTGAGAGGTTCAGACGTGGGGGTGAAGGGAGGTCAGGGAAGACTTCCTGGAGGAAGTCTGCCTACTGTTGGTGCTCAGGAGGGCAGGAAGGTGAGAGCAGCAGAGAAAGCCTAGGCTGTGAGCTGTAACCCCAGCTCCACTGCCGTGAGCCCGGGGATGGAGACAAGTTACTCCACCTTTAAGGGTTGGTTTCTTCATCTGTCAAAGGAGGTAATCAAAGGGCCAACCTCGTGTGGTTATTGGGAGTTCTGAATAAGTTGATTCCTCCTAAGCACGTGGTCTGACACAGTCGATGTTTCATAAATGCCACCCCTGGCCCCCTTTGCCTGTTAGAACTAAGAGGAGAGGAACATGGAAGTGGCTGGGCGAGTCAGAGATGGTTAGAGCTGGCCCGGAAGGGCATCTGATGAAGCAGGGTCGGGCAGAGGAAGGACTTTCCATGTTGGGGGAGTCTATGAAGTCCCTGCAAGTGAGGCCACGGGGAGCAAGGGGCTGCAGTGGGCACAGAGAGGAGGGCTGAGTGGGGGAGATGAGGCTGGGGCTGTTGACCTGGCTCCCCGACCAGAGCCCGCTGAAGGCTGTGGGAAGAGACGGTGGTGTGTGCTCCCAGAGAAACCCGGAGAAACGGGTGTCAGTGACTTTCAAGGGCTCCCAGCATTTTCGGTCAGGAACTAGGGGAGGGCGGTAAGGGTGCCCATGGGCAGTGGAAGCCAGAGTCCATCAGCCCATCACAAGGACCCTTCCCTCCCCAGCTGCGCGTCTTCAAGCTGGCCAAATCATGGCCCACCCTGAACACACTCATCAAGATCATCGGGAACTCAGTGGGGGCGCTGGGGAACCTGACGCTGGTGCTGGCCATCATCGTGTTCATCTTCGCCGTGGTGGGCATGCAGCTGTTCGGCAAGAACTACTCCGAGCTGAGGCACCGCATCAGCGACTCCGGCCAGCTGCCCCGCTGGCACATGATGGACTTCTTCCATGCCTTTCTCATCATCTTCCGCATCCTCTGTGGCGAGTGGATCGAGACCATGTGGGACTGCATGGAGGTGTCTGGGCAGTCACTGTGCTTGCTGGTCTTCTTGCTCGTCATGGTCATTGGCAACCTTGTGGTAAGCTGGCCAATGGCCTCACCCACACACATTCACCTCCCGTCCGTTTACCCACCAGCTGCCCATCCACCCCGTCTTCCATCTGTCCATTCACTTACCCTTCCTTCCATCCATCCGCTCATTGACTCAGCCGTCTGTCTGTCAAACCACCCATCCACCCGTCAATCTCTCATCTCCCTACCTACTTACCCCCCCATCCATCTGCTCATTCACTCACCCTTCCATCTGTCTCCTCATCCATTCATTTATCTACCCACCAATGTACCCACTTAGCACTTTGTATCAATTCATTCATTCACTTACCAGTTATTCTTCTCTCTACTCATCCATACATCTACCCATCCAGCCATCCATCCCCTCATAATTCACCCACCCACTAACTCACCCATCCGTCTGTTCACTTCTCCATCGATTAGTCTACTCAGTTACAAAACTTCACATTCATTTACTCACTTGCTCACCCAGCCATCCATCCATCAACCCACATCTACCCATTCACTTACCATCCACCTATGGATTCATCACCCAACCATTCATCTGTTCACCAGCCACCCGATCCATCACTTCCATTCATCCTACACAACCATACACACATACCTATTCATTCATTCATTTACCCACTCATTTATCTACCTATCCTTCGCTTGCCCACCATCCATTCATCCGTTCATCCATCACCCATCTTTCCACTCACCGATCTCTCCACTCATTCATCCACCCCACATCCATCTATGAACCCACTCATCCATTCACTCACCCACCAGTCCCACCTGCTACTCGTTTACCCAGCCACCTACCTACTCACTCACTCATTGGCCCATCCATTCATATCACTCTTCATTTGTTCATTCATTCATTAATTCACCCGCTTATTTGTCTGTTTATTCACTATTTAGTCATTTTATATTCATTAATCTACTTACTTGTCTACCCATTGTTTCATTAGTCATTCACTGGCAATGATTTACCACGTGGTTTTTCAATTCACCTTAAGAAACATTGGCTGAGCCCCTGTTGCTTGCAAACGATTGTGCCAGATGCTGTCGGACACACAGTGGAGAAGGTGGCCCTGACATGACTCATAAACTTGAGAGAGGGGGCAGGTGCAGAGTTCAAAAAGGCATGAAGTAACTCTCAAACTGGTCAGAACAGTCAGAACCATTAAGAGGAAGCCCATGGGTGCTGATCCCCTCCGCCTGGAAATCAAGGAAGGCTTCCTGGAGGAGCACTTAGAGCCAGCCTGATAGGCAGGTGATGCTAGAGAGGGCGGGGTGAGCAGAGCACAGGTGCAAGCAGGTGTTGGTCCAGGTGAGGCAGGGCCTGTGGGAGCCTGTGTGTCTCCCCGGGCAGCTGTGGTAGAAGCTCCTGCTGTCCTGTCGTAAGGGATCCGGACCTCTGCTACCTGTCTGACAAGGGCAAGTGCATCTCGCCTTGTGTCTGTACAGTGTGGGGAATTCCGGGGTTGAGAGAGATCATAGTCTAAATGCCAACGAAGGGGCCTTTGGAAGAGGCCAATTTGAGGCGAGTCAGTAGTTCAGGAAGAAGCCAGTATCCACTATGGACATGGGGCCACCCTCCTGGGACACAGGTGACCCACACATGCGCAGACATCACACCTGCGTGGTCTGGCTCCCAAGGGCGTGGGCAGCCCAGGCTCCCATCAGCGCATAGAAGGGTTTTAGGGGGCACGAGTCCTGTGGGCTGTGGATCGCAGAGCCCGTTCCCAAACCGGCCTGCTTTCTCCTCCCGTGTGCCTTAACCAGGCCAGGGCAGGCCCAGGCCGAGGTAGGGTCAGCCCCCTCAGGCCCCGCAGGTGGAGGAGCCCAGAGAGGAAGCAGCTACTCAAACCCAGCTCTTTGGTTGCCCTCACAACCCCCTTCCACCTTCGTAGACTGGCTGCTGGTCAGGGTGGAGCCTTCCTCAGCCCCTGCCCTGCCCTGGGTCCCCCAGGCTCTGTGCTCCAAGAAGGGTGCGAGCACTCGGAGCTGTCAGCCAGAGCCAGGTTGAGCTGCCCTCACACACAGCCCTGCGCTTCCCAAGCGGATCTGTCTGGGGATGAGAAGATTAGAGGCTGCTGGGGGAGGGAAGCTAACGCCCACGCACCGTCACCCCCCCCCCACCCCAGCCTCAGGAATTGGGCTGCCGCCCAGGCGTGGGAGGAAGCAGTTGCCATTGAAATGGGAAGTGATCAGGCAGGGGCTGGGGAGCAGCAGCACGATTGACAGGGAAAGCGCTGGAAGAAGACAAACTTCTGAAGCGGGCGACGAGGGAGGCCCTAGTGTCCTGTGTGGGTGGACGAGGCTGCCTGGCCGCTCTCTGCCCAGCCCCCAGCCTGGGCCCCAGCCGCCTGGAGGTCAGGGGAGGTGGGCGAGGCCTGAGTGAAGGCAGCGGGGGAGGGAGGATCCAGGGTGGGCAGCCAGGTCACACAGGTCAGGTGGAGACGGCAGCTCTGAGCCGCATCACATCGCCCCCCTGCCCAGTGACGACACGGAACAGGCTTCCAGGTGTCAAAAGGAATCATTTCTCCGTAGAGATATAGGATCGGGAGGTCCCACTTCTCAACCCTTCCATACTGTCCGTGTGAGTGTGTGCTGCTTTGTAAACCGAGGGCCGGTTTTGGAGACCTGGCCCTCCGTCCTTCCCCACGGCGTTCTCGTCCCCAGCCCTCTGACAGGTGTGCCGCAGGGGCTTGCGAGAAGCCACAGCAGGGGCTCAGCGTGGGTCTCCACTGAGAACTGCGCACCCACCTTCACACATCCCCCTGCTGGAGGGACCCCCGTTCAACTGAGCTCCCTCCCGGGAGGAGGAGACACCCAGCCCAAAGCGGGGAGGTGTGTCCCTGGCCTGTGTGCCTGGTGATGCTCCGGAGCTGTCTGACCCACTGGTGTCACCTTCATTTAACCTTCAGGAACCTGGGAAATGGGCCCATGCCACTCAGCAAGTTTTGTAGCAAAGCTTAAACTTCACCCTTGCAGGACCCTTTCACAAACAACCCAGACTATCCAAAAACAGGAATGGTGCAGACCTCCCTTGCGGGGGCTTAGCCCTGAAACCTGAGCCCCTCCCCCAACGCCTCAGTGTCTCCATCACGGGCCCGAGGCTGAGCGCCCGTGGGTGGCGCCTGGTGCATTGTCCCCACAGGTCCTGAACCTCTTCCTGGCGCTGCTGCTCAGCTCCTTCAGTGCGGACAACCTCACGGCCCCCGACGAGGACGGGGAGATGAACAACCTCCAGCTGGCCCTGGCACGGATCCAGCGGGGCCTGCGCTTCCTCAAGCGGGCCACCTGGGACTTCTGCTGTGGCCTCCTGCAGCGGCGGCCTCAGAAGCCCGCCGCCCTGGCCGCCCAGGGCCAGCTGCCCAGCTGCATCGCCGCCTCCAGCTCCCCACCGCCCGCAGACGCAGAGAAGGCACCTCCGGCCCGCAAGGAGACACGGTTCGAGGAGGGCCAGCGGCCAGGCCAGGGCACCCCTGGGGAGCCGGAGCCCGTGTGCGTGCCCATCGCCGTGGCCGAGTCAGACACAGATGACCAAGAGGAGGATGACGAGGAGAACAGCCTGGACACGGACGAAGAGTCCAGCAAGCAGGTGAGCCCCGACCTGGCCTCCTTCCCCCCACGCCTCTGTGGCACCCGCTTGCACGGGGCCCAGGGCTCTGCTGTTCAGGGCAGGCAGCCTTGCTCAGGGCGGCTGACCTGTCAGGCTGCCACAGCGGGGCCAGGGTGGAGGTAGAAGACAGGAGGTCCCCCAACAGCTGGCCTCGTAGAGGGGCGCTGAGACCAGCTCTCAGCCCTCTCCCCGACCCCGCCCAGGTGGGGACCTGGGAAGGGGCTGCTTGTCTGTGATTCGTCACGGTCACGGGCAGCTATTTGTACAGAAGGGGAAACTGAGGCACAGCAAAGGAGAGGGAGACTGGCTAGGAGTTCCTCGTGCATCTGGGTAGAGCCAGGACCCCTGGCCCCTGACCCCACGCTGACCATCGCCCTCCTCCAGGACTGCCAACAGGGAACGGCTTGGTGAGGGCGAGCGCAGTCGCCTGACCTCCGACTGCCCCTCCCCTCCTCCCACGCCCCGGGCTCATTCTGAGATTTAAAAATAAGCATCCCGAAGATGGCAGGTGTCAGAGACGGCACTATCTTATCTCCCAACCTGTTATTTTTAACACTTAGGACCAGAGTCTGTGCGAGGGAGACGGTGCCTCCCTTAGCTCGCTCAGCGTCACCGCGGCCCGCGCCAGGCTCACGTGGCTGCTTCTCGGGCCCCTGAGTCCAACAAGGAGGGCGGGCTCTCTCCGTCTCGTCGGGCCTGTCCTGGCCCCGCTCCCTCTGGGCCCCCACTGGGTGGGTCTGGCCGTGAGGCGCAGCGGCGCCCCCTGCGTGGAATTTGATCTGAGGCTTCAGACTTGGTCCCAGGCCGCCTGCCTCCCTGGGGTCGCAGAGGCCAGCTTCAGCCCTGGGAGCCGGGCTGTGGGGCGCGACAGTGTCCGGAGGGGAGGGAGGTGTCGGTGTTGCCTGTTGCCTGGACCACAGCTCCCAGTTTTCTCCAGGACGCTCCCAGCAGAGGGTGGAATTCTGGCTGCCCCTCCTTCTCTCTCTCTCCTGCCTCTCTGGAGCCTGTGGGCTCTGGCTCCCTGGGATGTATGTGTGCGAGTGTGTGCTTGTGTGCGCAAGCGAGCAAGCAGGGGGGCTGCCATGGGAGCTCACAGGAAAAACCCCTACATCCTTCTGAAGTGGGGGTGCCACCTATGGGAGCTGGGCGGGGCGGCCTAGCTGCACCCCTCCAGGGATGGGAAGAGGGGGAGACGCATGCCAGGCTTTGTCCGGCTAGCGGTCCTTTGCCTGGACCGACCAGGAGCCTCCCCGCTGCCCACTCAGGGCTTCTGTGGGAGGGTCTTCAGTGCAATGAGGCCCCAGGAGGAGGGCAGGAGGCATGGCTGGGGCCTGAGGCAGAGCCAGGGCCCTGGAAATGCTGGAGCCAGAGCTCATGGGCCGGAGGTCTCTTCAGCAGGAACCCCAGCCTGTGTCTGCTGGCCCAGAGGCCCTCCCGGAGCCCAAGGCCTGGAGCCAGGAGTCGGAGACCGCCTCCTCCGAGGCCCAGGCCGGCGAGGCTCCGGCAGACTGGCGGCAGCAGCAGCAGCGGAAAGCGGAACCCCGGGCCCCAGGGTACAGTGAGGTAACGCACACCTGGGTCCCTGAAGCCAGCGGGGTGCCACCTCTTGGGCCCGAGCCAGCTGTGAGAGGCCCCGGCACCTGCCTGCATTGGCTGAAGGGACCCGCAGCGGCTGTCCCAGGCAGCATGGGAGGCCCAGCAGCAGAGGGGAACATGGGCAGCCCTGTCCTCTCAAGGGAGGGATGGGAAGGCATGGGGCTCGAACCGCGGGAAGTTCTGGAAGCAGCCGTCCCGGGACCCTGATGCAGCGCTAACCCCAACCCTCCCTGCGCTCAGCCCTCCGCGCTCAGTCCGTGTGCTGTGGTCCTGTTTAGCAACGTTCGTCCCGTCCCGTGAACGGCCCCGTCCCAGGGGGCTTCGGGGGGCTGTGAAAACAAGGTCTTGGCTTCTTGGTGCATGAGCCACCAGCCGCTTCTCACCCGGACTCAAGCAGAGGCCACAGATGGGAACCCTCCTGTATGTAGGGTTTTGTTCCAACCACAGAAAGAGTTTTCATTCAAATTAGCTACCAACATCTAAAACTCGGGAGTTCTTATGTAAAAAATGTGCATTCCTGGCTTCTCTTGGAGGAAAAAAAAAAAACGCACACCGGAAGAGCCGCCTGGCTGGGGACAAGGGTCACCACCTGCTGGATGGCAGCTCTCGGTTGGCGCGGAGCCCCGCTGCCTGGCTTCACCCCGTTTTTACCTGCCCGGCCCCCCAAGTGTTTGTGTTTGTGATCCCTGCGCTCTCAGACTGGGCACCCACTCCCTCTCATGCCACACACCGTGGGAGGTGGCGGCCCTGTTTGGAGGAACCTGGCTGGGGGCCGCCGTCCTGCAGCCTGACCTCAGCCCTCCGCCCGGCAGGCGTGACCCGCTCCAAAGGCCCACTTCTCCTTTGCCTCGTCCCTTTCCCGGATGGGCCTGTGGGAAGCTCTGCGGTCACGGCCAGCTCCGGAGTGCAAGGGTCTGGTGGAGCCGTCATCCCCAGGGAGGGCCTGCCACACGAAGGCACGTGGGCACAGAAGGACACAGGATGGGCAGAAAGTCCTGGAGAGAAGGACTTTATACTAGAACGTTGGCCTTTGAACAAGTTTTTAGACTTGTCTCTGTCTTCACATCAGTCCCTGTGGGACCCCGTGAAAGGGAGTGAGGTGGGCTGGGGCTTTCCTGAGAGAGCAATCCTGTCGCCTCCCTGCAGTGGATCTCAAGAACTCGTTCTCCCTCGTGACAAGCCTGCATCATTCAGGCGGCTCCTGTGTTTGAAAAGAAAAGCAGGGTGAGGCCCCCCCGGCTGCACCTTTCTCAGCTCAGTGCCCCCCAGCAAAGCTGGGAGGAGAAGGGAACAGCCCTCCAGGCCACGGGGACCACAGAGGCGAAGCTGCAGCCCGGGGCCAGGGGTCCGCCCTGCACGGAGCAGCAACTTCTCCATGCCCACCAGGACCCTGCGCTTCCCCATCACAAGCCTAAATGTTAAAGACTTCGAGACACCAGCGGAGGGAGTCAGTCATGGAGGGAAGAGAAAAGCAGGAGGCTCCAGGAGCTAAGGCGCAAGGTCTCAGACCAGCACGTCTCTACATGGAGCCTGAGCAGCAAGACGGGCCTACTGAGCTGGGGCATCGGGGGCTTCGGACGTGACCTGAAGCCAGCGAAGTCTCCCCTTCCCTCACGGAAGCCCTGCCCTGCACTGCACACCGGTGCCTAGGGTGGGCCCCCAGAGGCAGTGCCTGCGATGGGCTTCCTTTGCAAAGGACTGACTGCAGAGAGCTCCCAGGAGAGACCCACCAGAAAGGAGGAAGCGGGATGGGGCAAAGGGAACAGCTCCAAAGGCATGACCTCATGCCTCCTGGTGGCCAGGCTCTAACCTCAGATTCGTGTCTTCCGTACAGTCAGTCACTGGGTGTCAGCCGCCCCTGGCTCTAGTCGTGACCCCCACGCAATCTCCAGACAGGGCAGCTCCATGGCTAAAGACAGTTTCCTGGAGATGGAACCGAGAAGCAGCCCGTGTGCACAGCGGCTGGGATGGGTGCACTGGCCTGACACACGGGAACTGGGCAGTGCACCAGCAGTGGCTGCTACAGCCCCTGACACACCAGCGCTCGCTCGTGACACACACAAACACAGGGCACACGCATGCACACACCTCCCTCTGTCAGGTTAAGTGAGGTCAAGGCCACAGGGCCCTGAAGGTGCCAGCACCTTCTCGCTCTTACCCCAGGCTCTGCGCCTCACACCAGCACCCACAGGAATTGGGTGAGAAGCACGAGCAGGTTGCCGGCCTGTTCTCTGCATGTCTGACCTTGAGCTTCTGTGTGCCTGTGATGCTGGTTCTGACGCCGATCTGGGTGTGGCACGCCTGTGTGCTCTGCGTGTGCCAAGCTACCGCTCCAAGTCCATGTCCTAGTGTGTGTCTGTGTTGCCACCCCATGTCTGTTTTGTGTCCAGCTAGACGAATCTCTCCTCCCTAATATTTTCCCAGATGCCTACACACCCCCCGCACCCCTGCCCTAGGCCCCAGCAGACCAGAACCGCAGACCCAGAGGCCCTGCGGTACAGACCCAGCTCAGCCCTGACTGGCCCCAGGTGACCTCTGGGGCAGGCCCTCATGCATCTTGGGCTCAGATCCCCCGAGAGTGCAATGGGAGATAGTCAGGGCACCTCCCCTCCAGGAGCTGCAGGCTCCCCCAGACCCTGGGCTGGAGGCTGGAGGCTGCCACGTGGCCCGCACTCACGCTTTTGCCCACCCTGCCCCATGCTCCTGCCTGCAGACGCACGAGGACAGTCTCTCCGAGGGGAGCACAGCAGACATGACCAACACCGCCGACCTCCTGGAGCAGATCCCCGACCTCGGCGAGGATGTCAAGGACCCAGAGGACTGCTTCACTGAAGGTCCTGCCCTGGGTGGCCCTTTGCCCCAGCCTCAGCACGCCGGGGAGGGGCAGGAGGACCCACAGCTCTTTGGGGCCCGGACCCACATTCCACCCCATGCTGGACTGGCTGCCTCCCCTCTTTACCCCACTCACCATGACCCTGGGGGCTCCTCCATCATGACATGAGTCATGGCGAGTCTGCTAGCAGTGTTCTGGGCTGGGCAGGTGTGGGCCAGGTGCACCAAGGACAGGTGACAGCGTTTGTGGGGTGGTGGCATGACTGCATGCCCCTATAGCAGCAGGGACAGCGTGGGAGTCACCCTGTTCCCCAGGCCCCGGCATGGTGCCTGGCATATTATAGACCCTCTTTAAGTACTCAAGGTGGGGGTGACTTGTGGTCGTGGTGGGGACCGGCACCTGGTGCAGTGGTGGTGTCTGTGGAGGGCAGCTGGGGATGGAATGAGGAATCGACCTCCATGTAGCCCATCATCTGGGGCTGCCAGTGAAGGGTCCACCCTTCCTCAGGCTCAGAGACTGCAAACTTGGAGAAAGCCCAGGGACAGAGCAGCCTGGGCAGCTCTAGAACATTTGGCGGCGGGGGGGGCGGTTTCCCAGATGAGCAGAGGACAAGATGGAGCCCATCCAGCCCCAGCCTTGCCCACCCCTGCCAGGCCTTCCATCCGCTTCCTGGGTGCCTGGTCCATCTGGCCTTTCCACAGAGGACCTGCTGAGTGTGGGCCCCTGCAGACAGCCCCACGCCCCCCCGCCCCCCATGACCCTGCCCCCATGTTGCCCCGCTCATCACCCATGTCTCATCTCTCTCAGTAATTCCTTCGACCACCCTGCCATCATACATAGGCATTCGCAGGCCCTGGCCTGGACCTGACCCCTCTCCCTTCCCCACAGGCTGTGTCCAGCGCTGTCCCTGCTGTGCTGTGGACACCACGCAGGCCCCCGGGAAGGTCTGGTGGCGACTGCGCAAGACCTGCTACCGCATCGTGGAGCACAGCTGGTTCGAGACGTTCATCATCTTCATGATCCTGCTCAGCAGCGGAGCGCTGGTACCCCCCTGGGGATGCCAGGCTGGGCAGGGAGGGACGGAGGAGGGTGGCAAGAAGAGGGTGGGAAAGGAAGTCTGGCCAGCTGGAAAGCCAGGTCAGAAAGTGAGGCAGAACCTCTGCTGAAAATGCACCCGCTCAGGGCCCCAGATCAGGAATCGACTCACAAACTCTCAACACCCATAGCACAAACGGAGGTCAGAGGAGAAAGGACTCGCGGGGTTGTCTGTCCAGGTGCCCTTGTCCCCCAAAGGGGCAGTGATTTGCCCCAGGTCACAGTGCATCACTGGTATAGGTCACAGGTCACCAGCCTCCCACACCTGAGCTCTGGTGACACGGACTCTGCATGAAGCCTCGGGTGCTCCATCAGGCTGATCCAACGCAATTCACGATGCCGGCTGAGACTGGAGGGGTGGCTCTGCTCACCGCCGGCTTTTCAGGGCTAGAGACCAGACTGTGTGGTTCACATGTGATCACATTTCACCCTACAACAACCTCTTGTAGAAACATTAAGTAATTTGCCCAAGGCTCCACCACCCGGAAGCAGCAGATGTGGCGTTGAACCCAAACAGTCGGATTCCAGAGATTTGTTCAATGGGTCTTTTCCAAGCTCTCCTTGGATCTACCTCTGTGAGCCATGGGGGTAGGGAGTAGGCAACAGGAGGAGGAGACCCCGGCCATGGCATCCGTGGTTCCCCGTCTAGTTGGGGAAACCAGACTCAGCAAATTTGAGAGTCAACGATCAGCTCAAGAAAGTTGAGCAAGAAAGGAGTGGATGACTCAGGTGATGGGGGAGGTCAGGGGGAACTGGAGCAATCAAGGAAGACTCCCTGGAGGAGGCAGATGGAACTTGACTGTGGAGGACAGGGGGTCTGTTGAGCCCAACAGAAGCAGAGAGGCCTTCCAGGGATGCCCTTGCCTGGCTCCCAACTCTCACCTCTCAGATCCCTTATTGAAAGAGATGAAACAGCCCTGAGGAAGGTTCTGGAAGGTGCTGGTGAGCAGGGAGAGGGATGATCAAGAAGGCTGAAGAAACAGAAACTCTCCTGACCCTGGGGGAGGAAGCACCTGATATTATTGGGGATGAGCAACCAATAGGGAAATGCTTTGGACTAGAGTGGGAGGGGCCACTTGGATCCGAGACAGTGTGCCCCCAGTCTGGGATGCCTCCTGTGGGGGCGGGGCCCGGGGGGCACTGTGCTGTCACTCCTACACCTCGGGGCCTCCCACTCCACCCAGCATAGGCCCCTCCGGTTCCAGAGCTGGCCTGGAGCCACGATTTAGAGACCGCATGCTGCGTTACCATTGGCAGCTCCAGTGAAATCTCTGCAGGCTTCGGAGGATGATTTGACAATATGTTAACGAGGTTTGTTTTTAAACAACCGCAAACAAGGGCAGCCAGAGCCATTTAGTCTGGGCTGTGGAGGAAAAGCTCAGGCTGGCATAAGTGAAGAGGAGTTTTGGCAAGCAAAGGTGAATCTAATCAGGGGAGACAGCCAAGCACTGTTTAAAAAAAAAAAAAACACCAGTGATATATTGAGAAAAAGAAGTCTGAGTGTGTTATTTAAAGTTATAAACTTGTTTAACAGAAAGCAGACTATATATTCCTTGCAAATTGCTGAAGGAAAAAAAAATTTAAAGGAGTCAGATCTTGCAGCAGAAGACAGGAGAAAAAATAAGCAGCAAGGAAGCATTGAATCAAAAAAAACAGAAAATAATATGACAGAGGCAAGATCCAATGTGTGTTTCAATAATAAATGTAACAGGGTAAAATTCATCCTTTAAAAGAAAAGGACTCTGAATGGATACTTTTAACACTTCAGCTCTTGCTCTGAAATGACAGACCTGGAACTCTGTGACTCAGAACCATTAAAAGTGCAGTAATAAGATATAGGAAGCAAATGAAAACAATGACAACAAACACCAAAAGTGCTTTTGTTTGTTAATATTAAACGAGGTTGGATCCAAGGTAAAAAGCTTGAGATAAAAGAGAGTCTGACCTATATTAAAAATGTGACTATCATGAATCTATTTGCCAGGGATTATATAGCACTTCTGTGAAGCAAAAACCATTGGGGCGGGGGTGGCACGGTGCAACAGTGCAGGTAGATTTTGCCACACTCCTATTAGTCTTTTACAAATCAAATAGAAAGAGCAAGAAAATAAGAAAACCAAATACACATATATAATTAATATTTTGACCTAACCTAATAATAATAAAAAATAATAGCTTACACTTAAACAGCACTGGCTGTGTGCCAGACTCTGTTATAAACATACTACAAACATTAATTCATTTAATTCTCATTTAATTGCCCTATAAAGCAGGTGCTATTATTAAGCCTAGCTAACAGATAAGGAAACTGCTAGATGTAGGAAAGATAGAAGGATTCAAAACAAACCCTTAAAAATGTAAAAGTCATTCTTAAATAAGTCTTGGACTAAACAAAAAATAGTTTGGAGGTAGGTTCATGGGTGTTCGTTACTTAATGAGTAAGCAAAGAAATAAAAATGAAGAGACTATGCAGGCACCAAAGATGACACTCAGCCTGTTCTGTCCACCTGAAATCTAGAAAAATGAGAAATGAAAAATCAAAGTAAAGGAAAAAACTGTAATTGAGGGGAGGGAAACTAGAAAATGACAATATTGAGAATATTGCATGTGAGATGCAGCCAAAGCTGTAATAAGAGTAAAATTCATAGACTTAAACAACTATATTATTAAATAAAATGTAAACTAATTATTTACCTCAATAAATTAAAAACATAACAACAAAATAACTTTAAGGAAGTGACTATAAAATACAAACATAATGAATTAGAAAATAAATAGTAAAACTGATAAAAGTTCAGAGTAAAACAATCAGATAGGTACACTTAACATCTCCAAGGGTGGAATCATTCACATTCTCAGGAAAGAAAATAATCCCAGTCCTATTTAAAATATTCTAGTGTATGAAAACAGATGGAAAGTCCACAAATTGTTTTTATGAAAGCTAAATAATGCTGATTTTTTTAAAACCTTAAACATACCAAAAGGAAAACTATAGACCAGTTTTCATATTCCATACTTATGAATAGTGACAGGGAAATCTTAAAATACATGCAAATAGTATCCAACAATATATTTAAAAGATTGAATAAGCCATAACTAAGCATGGCTGGTGTGGCTCAGTGGACTGAGCACTGGCCTGTGAACCAAAGGGTGGCCAGCTCGATTCCCAGTGAGGGCACATGCCTGGGTTGAAGGCCAGGTCTGCAGTAGGGGGCATGAGAGAGGCAACCACACATGGATGTTTCTCTCCCTCTCTGTCCCTCCCTTCCCCTCTCTCTAAAAATAAACAAATAAAATCTTTAAAAAAAAATAAGCCATAGCTAGATATATGTCAAAATAATGCCATATCAGAAAATCCATTTATATAAATAGGACAAAGATAAAGTATGTCAATAAATTTCTGATTTTTAAAATTGATAAGAATAGAAATAACATATATTTCCTTAAGTTAGTGAAAAACTTAACCCCCAAATTAACTCTGTCATCACCATTAGTAGTAAAGCACTTCATCATTTTTATTAACGTCAGAAATAAGGAAAAGAATGATTTAACTACTTTTCACGTGTTGTTCATTACTTAATAATCTTGAAGTACTAGCCAGTGCAATTAAAGAAGAAAATTAAATATACAGTAAAAAAATGGAAAATAGAATTGAAGACAATATAGTCAAGTATAAAAGAAGAGTTAGTGATAATAGAAATAAGCAGAAAGTATATCATTACTTTTAGATAATGATTGCCTAGAAAAAATTTTAAAACTTATTAAAAACATTATATGTCACAAAATATACAAAGAATTGTTGCTGTTGTTTTTTTATTCTAACAGAAACCTTTTAGTTACAGGCAACATTTCTCAAATATTCCTTATGTGCCAGGCATTGTAAACAAAATAACCAGGCATAAATATAACATAAAATGTTATAAGAGGTACTTGAAGAAAACTATAAAACTTTGCTAAGGAATGTAGAAGAAGACAAATAGATAAATGTACTATAAATATACTCTAGTCTTGGGTAGGAAGGCTTCGTATTAGTTCCTAAAACAGTTAATAAATTTAATGTAATAACAATAAATTTCCAACATTTTTGAGGGAGTTTGACAAAATATTGCCAAATTTTTTATCTTGGAAATTTCCAAGAAAATTCATATAATGCTAATTCAGTCATAGACAGAGAAGAACCATATAGAGAGCTCTGAAATGAAGTGTAATATGTGATGACATTGACTTCTAGTCTGTGGATCTGAAGTGATCCTTAAAGTGTTGGGACCATTGACCAGCCACTCTAGAGAAAATATTAAAATAGTTGCTTGTTACCAAAATTAATTTTTTTAATTGTAACATTAAACAATGAAACCAGAAAGTATTTTTAAAAAGAAAAGAAGGGTCTTTTTTTTTCCCTAGTCTTGGAATAGGCAAGAGCTATCTTAACATGCCAGAGGTTTTATTTACTACATAGAAGTCTTATTAATGATATAATTCTATTACATGATACGGTAAATGGAGATGAAGCGTAGAACCTCAGCGTGGTAAACAACAGGAAACAAGACAGAAAGGCACACAATAGGATCCAGTGCATCAAATAGAGTTAATGTCCCCAAATAAACCAGACACTCAAGTAAGAAAACAAGCAAGAGAGGAACACTGCAATAGCCAAGACCAGAACTGAAATAAATAAAAATGGAGCGAAATGCAGTTTTCGTTCATGAGGCTGGGGTGGGTGACGAGGGAGAAACGTCACCCGGGGGTGTGGAGTGGCCAGGAAAGAGCCACCTCCGCGCACTGTCGGGGGAGGGTCACTGGGTGTCTCCTTCTGAGGTCCTGCTCCCAATCTGTACCCAAGTTCACCTTCGACTTGCATCCCAGTTCTGGAAATCTGTCCTCGAGAAATGAGGAGACACACTGTTTCCTGTGTGGTCGCTATCGGGATAAATTGGAAACAACAGTGACGTTCACCACCGGGGTTATTGGCTACATAAACAGTAGTTTATGCAAATAAGGAAATGCCATGCAGCCTTTAAAAAGAATGGTACTGTATGTAGTCACCCCGTGGAGTCCATAATGACTCACAAAAGATTGTTTAGTGGGGAAAAAAAAAGTTCCAAAGCAAAATATTTAGCATACCTTACAAAATGGTGTGGTTACACACACACACACACACACACACACACACACACGAATAATGTCCAAAAGAATGTTCACCTCAGTGTTAGCCGTGGCTGCTTTAGTGTCGTGAAATTGGAGGTGCCTTTTCTTCTCTTTATAATGTCTATGTTATTTACGTTTTATAAGAAGCACACATTTTTTTATAACCAGAAAAAGCACACCTACTCTTTCTATTGAACAACTCTCTGAGTCTGTGCTGGGACTGGCATCATCCCGTTGTCCTGTGTACACTGACCAGACTAGCCACACGTGTGTGTCCGCGGCGCCTGCTCGGGCACCGCGGGCAGCACTGGCCACCTGGATCCTGCCGCTCGCAGCCAGACAGGGAGGCCCAGAGCCACAGGTGGAGGCGGCTCCCCAGGGCCCTCAGTGACGTGCTCAGTTGCTTAGACTGGGAGGCTCAGAGCCCGTAGTGGACGCGGAGCAGTAACCCAGGTGGAGCAGGTACAATTCAGAAGGCTGGAGGTGGAGGAGGGCAGCTGAGAGCCGTGGGGACTTCTCTGTTGGCTCAGGAGTTGGGGCTGAGGCAGGAGGGAGGAGGTGGAGAGAGACAGCTTGTAGCATTTTAGAAACTTTGACTCCCAGATTCTGAGGGTTTTAGGAGGTTCGGCTTTACCTGGTCCTGTGCTTCCTAAACTTCATAGCTAGAAACTGTCTTTATTATCATTCATTTAAGGTTTTGCTTTAAAGTGACTGTTTGTTTGTTTTGGTTAAATAAGTGTATCATAAAGAGAAACTTTTTAATGAATATTTGCAATATTCATTACTATTGCAATTGGAAACCAGTGTCATTTCCTATGAAAAGTAGGTAACTGCATAAAGGAGAGTGAAAACAAAAAGTTTCATGCTGTTTCTTTCCAGCAGAAGGTTAGGAGTGAGCTAAGCCTGCACACCCACTCTCCTTATTAAAACTGAAGATCAGCAAGTTCTAGAAAGTTCTTTCTGATGCCCTAGCCCAGAACCCAGACTTGCTCTTCAGTGTAAAGGAAGCAGCGTTCTCACACACACTCTGCCCTCCTGTCTGCACACCACGTCCGGCCATTCCCCGGCCCACCAGGGGCACACACGCTCCATGGGGCTCGGGCTGACCACGCAGGGGCCCCTCCACTGCCCGTCTCACCTCTGCCCCTCCCCCGCCCTCGTGGGTAGCAGTTGCTACTAGAGTGGATGCCTCGTGCAGAGTGGGATTGGCCATGGTCAGGACGTTGTGTCCATTTGTCTGGCCTGGTCTGCAGGCCTTCGAGGACATCTACCTGGAGGAACGGAAGACCGTCAAGGTTCTGCTCGAATATGCCGACAAGATGTTCACCTACGTCTTCGTGCTAGAGATGCTGCTCAAGTGGGTGGCCTATGGCTTCAAGAAGTACTTCACCAACGCCTGGTGCTGGCTGGACTTCCTCATTGTGGACGTGAGTGTGGCCCCTGGCGGGAAGGGAGGACGGGGAGGCAGGAGCTGAGACAGAGGGTGGACGGGACCGAACGGCAGAGCTGGCAGGAGTCTGGCTGCAGTGGAGGCACTTGGCTGTGCAGCGGGGCAGGCGGAGGGGAAGGAGACCGGAGTCTGGGGTCATAGGGGAGAGACCTAGACCCTGTCCTCAGGAGCCCCCTGGCTGCTGGGGGAGACTAGACTCACCGTATGAAACAGTGAAGAGCATTTCAGGCAGGGATGTGAGCCATGGCGGGAGTGGGGGCTCCCTCTCAGCCTGTTGGGAAACGTCTGTCAGGCCCACTAGACACGTGGCCGGGTGAGGGCCTCCATGCCCACATGCGGCAGGAGGTGTCTGCACAGGGATGGAGCGAGCTGAAGGCCAGAGGGGTCCGGACTGGGGAAGAGGTGTGGACAGGCAGGAGTGACCCTCCTGGCTCAGGCAGTGCATCCCACCAGGGGAGGTGGGAGGTGGGGTCACCTGTGAGGAGGAGGAAAACCATGCACCTGGCCAAGGGCTTCTGAGCAGCTGCCCTGGACGACTGGGTGGTTGGCATGGCTTGCCTGCCCAGAGGATCTGGGACAGGGGGTTGACACATCCTCTGAGCACCCGGTTGACAGAGGAGAAGAAGGCGCCAGCCCCACGGCTACCCCGGCCCAGGGCACTGCTGGGTGCCGAGCAGGGTGTGTGCAGGGTCCGAGACGGGGTTCCTGAGCAGTCGAGTGGGAGCTGGCTGGGGTTGGGGGTGAGGCTGGGGCGTGGAACAGCCTCGGACCTGCGCTCACTGCGGGCAGAGGGCCCAGCGAAGGCCAAGGACTCGGGCGAGGGCTCAATGTCCGGTCATGGTGGGTCCCACAGAACAGAGCACAGGCCAGGATCTGCAGACTGGGAAGAGATCCTACTCTGAGACCAAAGGGAGGGGCTCGGTCCCCAGCAGGCCTGGCCAGGGTCCAGACCTTGAGCGGCTGTGGCGGGAGAGGCTCCTTGGGTCCACCCCTGTGTGGGGACACAGGATCAGGTCATCGGACCTTCAGTCCAGGCTTCTTTCTGTCACCCCAAGGGGCTGAAAGGATGCTCATGCTGGGGTGAGGGGTGCTAGGGTAGTAGAGCGAGAGGGGCTTCTGGGGGCCCTTATAGGTTGGTGCCGTCAGAGCCAGGGCCTGAAACGCCAGCCACCCCATCCCCCACTCAGGAGTGAGGCCCACTGAGGGGCTGTCCCTGGGCAGGCCCGAGGGAGTCTGCAAAGGCTTCTGGAGAAGCCTACCCACACCCCACCACCTGCCACCGCGGGGAAGTCAGCTGAGGCTAGGCGGTGGGGCGCTTCCTGCCGGTCCCAAGGCTGCAGGGGCAGCTGCTGGAGAGGGAAGCCTGGCTCACAGCAGGGAGGGTCTCTGCCCAAGGTCAGAGGGAGGGAGGGAGTGCTGGAGTCCAGCTTCCCTGACACTGGCCGAGCCGCCCGCACCCCCACCCCCCACCTCATGGGAAGGGGGCTCTTCGGGCCTCAGGGTCTGGAGAAGGATGTTTTCAGGATCAATTCATGCATTTTTTTTTCTTTTCAGTAAACCCCAATGGAACATGTATGGGTAAGGGCCGGTGTAGGTGCTGGGGATCTCAGGGAATAAAACAGACAAAACCCCCTAATACCACGGAGGGTTAATGAACCTAAGTAAACCAATTTTATATCATGTCACATATGACGAGTATGAGAAAGAAAAGGAAGTCGGGGCAGGGTGAGGAGGGCCAGGGGCAGGGGGAGGGGAAGGCACAGATCTCAACTTTCACTAGGCTGGTGGACACTTGAGCAGGTGCGAGGGGAGTTGGAGTGAGCCAGGCAGGTGTCTGCAGAGCATTCCCAGCAGCGATGGGGACGGCAGTGCCCAGGTCCTGTGGTCAGTGCGCGCCTGGCACACTTGAGGAGCCACGGAGAGGCCAGAGCAGCTGGAGCGGAGGGGGCGGGGAAGGCAGGTGGAGGAGAGGAGACCAGACGCACGCACGGGGCAGGATGGGTGCAGCCTTGCGAAAACGGGGGCTTCTCTTTAGAATGACGTGGGGAGACGGGGCAAAGCTTTGGACAGAAAAGTCACACGAACTGACTCACGTCATGAAAAGAACGCCCTGTGGGTGGTGGGGGAGGGGCCCGCGTGGAAGCAGGGAGCAGAGTCAGAAGGCCGTGGCAGCAATCCAGGGGAGAGGTGACCGTGGCCTGGCCAGGATGGTGGCAGTGACCGTGGTGACAAATGTCTGAACTTCTGATGTAGCCTGAAAACAGAGCCAACAGGAAATCCTGGTGGGTTGGGTGTAAGGTGTGAGAGACCGAGGAGGAGCAGGGTGACGCCGGGGCTGTGGCCCGAGCGGCTGGAAGGAGGGACTTGCTGCCATCGGCCAAGTTGGGGGACTAAGGCTGGGACAGGTGGGGCAGGAACAGACGTCAGGGGTGGCCTGCCGGGAACTGGGCAGGCGACCGGCCCCGGGGCCCTGTCCTTAGGAGACGGTCCCTGGGAGATGCCCCCCTCCCTTCCAGGAATGGAGGTCCGAAGCTGGGTGCCCCTCTGCCCAGCCCCCTCCCACCCGGTGCTCCCAAGCCTGGGAGGTGGCGGTGGCAGCCAGGCTCCTGCCCGAGGCGCCCCACCACCCCCAGGCTGCCCCGAATGCCAAGGTGCTATTAATGGCGATTGCATGCGAGGTCAGGCAGGGGGCCACTTCCAGGCTGTGATCCCAGGCCAGCGAAGTGAGAGCGACTGGATGTCCACGGAGCTTTAAAAGGATCAAGTCCACGGGAAGCAAATGCCGTGGTGGGGGTGGGGCCGAGGGAGCAGAGAGCAGAGAGCCCGGGCTCTCGTTGCCCCAGAATCTCCACCTAAGCCTCCCTTCTTGGACGATGTCAGAATGTTGCAGAGTCTGACTTTAGCGAAATGCCCCTGGAGGGTCTGCCTGCTCATCCTCAACCCAGGACAGGTCTTCCTTCCCCAAAACAGGCCCCAAAATTTGACTTACAGGCTCTGTGTTTTTGTTCCTCCACACCAATCAGTGGCTTTGGGGACTCTCACTCAGGGTCTGAAAGCCAGGACGTGCTTCGGCTTGCCCCTCCACCCCCACCCCCGTCTCCGGGGCCCCAGGGAGGCTGGCCCCATGCACGTGAAGACGAGCCAGTTGGGAATAACGAAGATCAGACATGGGCAAGGCCTGCCTGCCGGCCCTCTCACACGCAACACTGTTTTCAGGGGACCCAGGGCCCTTCCACCTGACCCCAGAGCAAGCTCCATGGCCCCTACCTTGCCTCCCACAGGTCTCGCTGGTCAGCCTGGTGGCCCACACCCTGGGCTTTTCTGAGATGGGCCCCATCAAGTCGCTGCGGACCTTGCGGGCACTCCGACCCCTGCGCGCCCTGTCACGATTTGAGGGCATGCGGGTAAGAGGAGCAGCTGCCCTCCCACCAGGGCCCGGGAGGTGGCTCCACTGAGGGGACCCGCACGCTCACTTGCGGACCACGCTGCCCAGACTGGAGCTGGGACTGTGGCCCGTGACGTGGTAGGAGCTTCCAGGAGAGGGGTGGCTGGGCATGGGGGCGTGCAGAGGGAGGAGAGCTGTGAGAACCACCCTCAGGCCAGTCCCCTCCAGCCCTGTGGCCTCCACAAGGGCCAGGACAGCACCGGACAACGGAGAGGAGGTGAGGCCCCCAGGCACGGGCATCTCCGCTGCAGCCCAGCCTCACTGGCCCGAGGGCCCCAGCTTCTGCCTCCCTGTGTGACCTCGTCTCCGCGTGTGTCCCAGCTCTGTGTGTCTGTTCGCGCCCCGGCCTCCTGGCAGACACGGGTGCCTTCCCTCTGCCTGCGAGGGGCAGCAGGGCTGCCACAGTGAGGGTGTGAGGCAGAAAGGAGCAAACTGCATTCTCACCGTCAGATACCAGTTTGCATTTGCAAGAGTTTACTCTTTTGCACTATTTTCTACGTGTATGGAGCCCTATGCATCTTTGTAGTCATCAAGTTAAAAAAAAAAAAAGTGCCCCCGTAAAGCAAGCGTAAAAGCTCGCCGAGGAAACACATTACCCATGATGCATGGCAGGAGCGCAAACTCTGTGCTCATGTGTGCCCACCACTTCTGTTTACAAAATGTGCATGGTTTGTACGTCGCTGTGGCCTTGGCAGCACGTCTGCATGCGTCTCACTGGTCCAGCAGGCACCCTCCTGCAGCCCCCATTCGGTTGATGGTTTTGAACTAACCCCCCACCCCCACCCCCATTTATGGAGACACAAAGCACTCATTCCCAGTGGAAACTAACCCCAAGTGAGTAATCCGACCTCAGTTGAAAGTCTCTTTGGGAGCAAGGACGTTTGATTCCGGAGGGACGTGGGGAAGATGCTAGTTGCCATCAGCCACCGAGCCAGCCAAGGGCACACTTGAGAGCCAAGTTCCCCACCCTGTTCCCAGGATCATCATGCCTGCCGGGGAGCCAGGGACCCCCTCTGTTTTGCATATGTCAGCACGACCCACCCGGGCCCCATACCCACCACACAGCCTGCACCTGCTTCACTTCCAATCTGTGGCCAACGTGTTTCTAGCTCTCGGACAGCTGGGAACTTGGTTCATGGAGGGGCAACCAGGTGCCTTTGCCTGGGAGGCATCTCCTGGGTGCTGTGAGTTTAGAGGAACAGCGTGAGGCGGTGGCTCCATGGGGTCAGAGAGCCGCTCCCCACGGAGGGCAGAGGCACAGGGAGCACCCCCACACCTGCCCTCCCAGCCCTGCTCCCCCGGCAGCAGAAGAGGACTCTCAGATACCCTCCCCACACACTGCGCGAAGGTCCAGCAACCCCAAAATAAACTCAGAAGCTTAGCTCAGACAACACGTCTCCAGAGGCCCATTCCCATCTGTCTCTGGCGTAGCCAACTACCCTGTTGAACATTAAGTTTCAAGGTCATGGATTCAGGCAGGGCCGAGGGAAGGCAGATGTTCTCGAGTTACATCAGACTCTGGGGTGCGAAGGGAAAGGTGTGTGTGTTCTTTCTCCCTCCTCTCGGTCCCCGCCAGGGCTTCCAGCTGTGCGTTGCCTTTCCTTGGGGCCGGAAAGTGTTCTGCACCCCTCCCCCACAGGGATCTGTGGCCAGGGAGTTCAGTAGGTTGGGGTTGACGGGTCTTGGAAGGGGCACATTTTCTGGGCACCCCCAGGAGCTGAGTCTCTTGTCTGTCTACTCGAGGTGGTGGTCAATGCCCTGGTGGGCGCCATCCCGTCCATCATGAACGTGCTGCTCGTCTGCCTCATCTTCTGGCTCATCTTCAGCATCATGGGCGTGAACCTCTTCGCAGGGAAGTTTGGGAGGTGCATCAACCAGACGGAGGGGGACCTGCCTTTAAACTACACCGTCGTGAACAACAAGAGTGACTGTGAGTCCTTCAACATGACCGGCGAGTTGTACTGGACCAAGGTGAAGGTCAACTTTGACAACGTGGGGGCTGGGTACCTGGCCCTTCTGCAGGTGGTAAGTCTCAGAGAGGAGGGGCCTCCTTCCGCCCACTGGTTCTCCAGCAACAGCGCCTGCTCCCGTGGTGTGGGCAAGAGGGGGTCAGAGGGGCCACTCTGAATCCTCACAGTAGGCCCACGTTGCCCAAAGGAAGCCAAGGTTCTCCAGAGACTTCTTGGCTCCTTGGGGAGTCCCTGGGTTGTCCTTTCTGGAGCAGATGCCCCATTCTCCAGGATCCGTGGCATGGGGGTTGGGCCCTGAGGAGGAACTAACTTCCCAGCCCACAGTCAAGTTCAGCTCCTCATGCAGTCAGTTTGGCAGTGTGATGGCACAGGTTAAAACTGAAAGACCATAGCCCTGGCTGGTGTGGCTCAGTAGACTGAGTGCCAGCCTGTGAACTGACAGGTCACTGGTTCGATTCCCAGTCAGGGCACATGCCTGGGTTGCAGGCATGGGGTCCCCAGTTGGGGCTGTGTGAGAGGCAGCCAATCGATATATCTCTCACACATCGATGTTTCTCTCCCTCTCTTGCCCCTCTCCCTAAAAATAAATAAAATCATTTTTTAAAAAATGAAAGACCATACCATAGAGACCCAGGGCCTGAACTATTAGCAAAATTGTGTCTCTGGCCATCCCTCTGTTACAAAAAGTCATGCTGTCCTCTGCGTTGTTTAAAAGAATAGATTTCCTTCCATCCCTGATGTTTGAACACACACAGCCTTACCCCATCTTTCCAAAGTTGTCCTTGATTTGTGAGGACCGTGGCTTCAGTGACTGTAATGCATGCTATAAAATTAACCTGCAAATAGCCCGAACAGCAGAAGTGCAGATAGAACCGTAACTCGTGAAGCTACAGCTCGTTCGCTGTCCCACTCTCAAGCCCAGACACCTGTTTCCAGCAGTCCCCAAGGCAGAGGTAAACTCAGCAGTACATCCACCCGAAAACTTAATGCACACGTCCGATTACACCTCCACGCACCCCTTAAATCCCAGTAGTAGCTTCTCCAAAGACTCCCCTGAAACACCTCAAGGAGAACAGGGTCAGGCCCAAACCCAGAGGTCCTCCGATCCCTGTGACTGTCCCTCCGAGTGTCAGAGCTTGGAAGGAAAGGCCCCTTTTATAGACTGAGGACTGCCCACCATTCCAGACAGAGTTTAGCCACAGGCATTTCACAACCTTGGGTGGTCTTCGGCGGTTCCCAAAGCGTTTCCAGGCCTCTCTGCACAGGTGAGGGCCTCGTGGCATAAAGAGCTAAGCCGCTTGCCATCTGCGGAGCGGCCTCAGTTTCCCACTCTGTCCTCCCAGCCTCATAAGAACTCCGAAACGTGCAGCATTGGTGTGGACATGCTTGTACCGTGAAAGGAGGCTTAGGGCGAGATTGACTTTTGCCAAGGACAGAAGGGAGGCCCCCCCTGGGCAGTGGGTCTCGCCACCCAGCCTGTCTCTCGGGCTCTCGGCATCTCCATGGCAGCCCCGCCTGGGCCAGGCCGTGCAGCCCGCACCGGCGCCCCACCTCGTTGCGACGGCACGCACCGGAGCCAGCTCCTGTGGATTCGCAGGAGCTGGTGGTTACATTTTCAGCTATTTTGCAAGCTATTATTAAAAATTACATTTTATAAAATTATAATTAACTAAGTGGTATTAAAACGAAATGAAAACTCACCATTACCATCTAGTATCATCTGTGCTCTTGAGGTTAGTACAGCTATTACGTCTGTGCAGAGAAATCCCGTAATGCCAAGACTCCAGTGCAAACCTTCCCACCCCTGTGCTCTGGGGCAGCGCGCCGGCCACGTGAAATCGGCCATGGGGGGAGGGGTTTCCACGGGGAAATGGGCAAACCCAACACTCGGGGCTCTTTCTTCTGCAAATTCATGGTTCACCACTTACCCACACACCACTGGCCAAAGGACTCCCTTAAGTGCGAGGGAAGGTTGGAATTCTTTAGGGTCTTGCTGTCAAAAGCCATGGGGCGGAAGCCGCCAGGGTCTCTAAGGTGCAGGACAAAGGGGACCCAGTCAGAGCAGAGAGCCCGAGCCCCCGGTCTCTGCCCCTGACTCCTGCTGTGGGACTCTGTGTCGTTTTAGAGTTGGAAATGCGTGTAGATCTGAAGGGCCCACCTCCTTCAGGCCTCATCAGTCTCCTGGCCAACGTCAAGAGGCTTATTCCCCCAAGCATGGTCTTCTTCCAGTATCTGCCTGGCTGGCTTCCCCTCCCCCCTCAGCCCTGAGCAAGAAGGCCCTTGCCTGACCACCGAGCCACTCGGACCCTGCTGTAGGGGCGGGGTGGGCTGCTAGCTTCTCACAGGAGGCTGCTTCCCAGCCTTACCTGTCCAGACAGGAGCCCTGGGAGCCCAATCCATGCAGAGTTCAGTGATGTTCTTCCTCTCGTCTCTTCCTTTCAGGCAACGTTTAAAGGCTGGATGGACATTATGTATGCAGCTGTGGACTCCAGGGGGGTAGGTTGGCCTCTCCCACCCAGTCAGGCACCTACGGCCCTGGGCAGCTTGGCCACCGGGGAATCGAGTCCACCTCTGAAAGCCCCTGCTAAGGGCCAGATAACTTGTGTCAACCTGCGGTTGAACCTCTCTGGAATGCCCAGGCCTGGCCCCAGGGCAGCGGTCTCCCAGGGAGTCCCAAAGTTCTCAAATATCTTTCAAATTGAATTCGCTGTAGTTCACTTGAAGCTCAAAGGCTTAACCCCAGGAGGATGGGGTGGGAGCAACAGAGATGCAAATCGAGCTTCGTCTTTGCCCTTGAACCCCACCCATTCACACTGACAATTCATAGAAGACTGAGACACCCCATATCTCAAACCTCCCAATGGCCCAGGGGCAGAAGCCATGTGGGGGACACCGCACCAGGTCTGCTGTCCTCACCTGCCACCAGCCACTTCCCAACTCCAGTCTCCACCCACCCAGCCCTGGCCCTGCTCCACATCACACCTGTGCCGGTGACCTTCCTCTGGACACCCCTTCTCTCCCAGAGAATGGACACCCCCAGGCAGCCCACAGCCTGCCAGTCTGAGCTCCCTGTCTGACTTTCCCCCTTTAGTACGAAGAGCAGCCCCAGTGGGAATACAACCTCTACATGTATATCTACTTTGTCGTGTTCATCATCTTCGGGTCTTTCTTCACCCTGAACCTTTTCATCGGTGTCATCATCGACAACTTCAACCAACAGAAGAAAAAGATACGTAGTGCTCCTGCCCCACCCCAGGCTGGCAGGGCTGGGGGCCGAGGGTTCTGGCTCCCCGGCCCCATTTGCTTTCTGCTGAGGGTGGTCCCTGCTTGCTCCTGCTGGAGGGAGTGGGGCAGGAGGTGGGGGTGTCCATGATGGGACTCGCCTAGGCCTATAAGAGCGTAACAAGGGGCCCCCCACCTGCCCTAGTCCACCTGAGACCTGGGGCTCCTGGGAGAAGCTGGGTGAGAGTGGGGACTCTTCTCCTGGCTCGTGATCAGGGACAATGGGTGGAGCCTCTACAGAGGCCAGAGTCTTCCTGGAGCCCCCTCAGAGGGGCCATGACTTGTTTGCAGGTAGAAGCAAGCAAGCAGAGAGAGCCTTCAGCCTGGCTGTGCTGGGCAGGGGAGAAGGTGGGAGTAGGGACAGGATGGGCAGGTCGAGGGGCCAGAATGAGCTTGAGGTGAATTGAGGGACCCAGGAAAAGCAGGTTTGGGGAGGAATCTGTGGTGTAGGATACAGACATACTTTCCTGGGACAGGGAGTGGGGAGAAGGCCAGCCCTGGCACCCTCCTTAATGAGGTGAGACCCCTGTGCCATACATGCTGGAGCCTCTGAGAACCCCAAAATGAGTCTGGTGCCTGCCTCTGCACTTAGGGGGCCAGGACATCTTCATGACAGAGGAACAGAAGAAATACTACAACGCCATGAAGAAGCTGGGTTCCAAGAAGCCGCAGAAGCCCATCCCCCGGCCCCTGGTGAGCCCAGCTCCCAAATCAGCAACACGGGAGAGAACCTGCTGGGGCGGGAGCCTGGGAAGTCCCCACAGCCCACAACCAACTGCCACAGCCTCTTCACGGTCTTTCAGTGCAGCCTGGGGCCCTCCACCAGTCCAGGGAAGGAGGGGGACCCTCAGGCATCGGGCCATACACAGAGACCTCAGTTGCACAGAGATAGTAAGGAAGCCATAAAAAGGCTGTGGCAACCAGGGGTTACCCCATCCCACAGAAACCCTTCTGCCTTGAGTGAGCCCCCCTCCCCTGAAAGGGCTCAGGCTCTCCCCAGGGAGAGCAGGGCGGTCTTCACAGCCCCCACCCCCAGTCATTGTCTCATCCATGAAACCCCCCGAATTGGAGAGGGCCCCTGGTGCATGGAACCAGGAGGGGTGCTGGGTGCTGGGTCCTGTGTCGGGCTGACTCCCTTGCTCCATCAAGCCATTTTCCAAAAAATCGTGTGAATATTGGAGCGGGGTGGGGGCCAGTAATCAAAGTAATTAGGTGACATAGCCTGAATCTCTAGCTAGCAAGTGGCAGCCCCAGTGTTTTTGATTCAGTTCATCAGTTTTATCTGATTCCTTTCTGTTCACCATACTCTATTCTAGGTTAGCTGTGTGTGTGTGTGTGTGTGTGTATTCACTTATTTATAATCTTCTCTCTTCCCCAAAATAATCTGGGGAAGACACATATAAATTGAGTAGAATAAAGTCAGTTCCTTAAAAAGAGTGGAGGAAATTTATTAACCTGAGGGCAAATACAATGACTGGGACTGACCTTTAAATTTGACCTTGAGCCTTCAGTTGGTGGGAATGAAAAGAGAAGTACAGTGAACACTGTGCTAAAGAAACTCAGTGGAGGAAAAATCTCTTCCTGAAGATGCATCAGAGATGGCCTAAGGGAAGAGGGAGCCTCAGGCCTGGGCCCCGAGCCCAGGTAGCGATTCATCAGGAGAGCCAGGCCATTTCAGAGCTCCTGACTTCTTCCTCTCCCTCAACGGTCCGGTGGGGTGTTGGCCTCACCAGACTGTAGCCTAAGCAGGTGGGCGATCTGGGCCGAGAGGCAGCAGCAGGGGGCACGCTGGCCGGCCCAGGACCCTGATGAGCCCATCCTGTGCCCCTTCTTTCAGAACAAGTACCAGGGCTTCATATTCGACATCGTGACCAAGCAGGCCTTTGACGTCATCATCATGTTTCTCATCTTGTTGAATATGGTGACCATGATGGTGGAGACCGATGACCAGAGCCCTGAGAAGGTCAACATCTTGGCCAAGATCAACCTGCTCTTCGTAGCCATCTTCACGGGCGAGTGTATCATCAAGATGGCCGCCCTGCGGCACTACTACTTCACCAACAGCTGGAACATCTTCGACTTCGTGGTTGTCATCCTCTCCATCGTGGGTGGGTATACCAGTTGTCTGGACAGAGACGCCTTCCCCAGGCCAGGGCTTCCCTTCAGCCCATGGTAATGCCAAGTACTCTGAGGCTCCTTTATTCTTTTCTCCCTGCATTCCTCCCCTCTCCCCCATCACACACGCAAACTCTTGACCCTGCCCTCAGGGAACTCTGCCTTGGACTGACTGACTTTTCATTGTTCTGCCATGTTCAGCCTTTGGTGAACTCAGAGGGAAATGCAGGTGCAGCTGCGGTGATGGGCAGATGGTTAGAAGCTGGGGGTAGCACCAGTAGATGCCAGGGAGGTCCCAGGCGGGGTCGAGGGTCAGAGCATGCCTACTGGGACTGCACTATGCAGGGCAGCCGCAGCAGGAATGGAGCTGCTGGGGGACAGTCTCAGAGGCTTCGGGAGGTGCAGCATGTGTCTCAGAACACCTACTGGTCGCAGTGCTTGGCCTCCCCAGAGAAGCACGGTTCACAGGGATTAACAGGTCAGCATGGAGCCAGAGTGTCTGAGTTGAATCCCAGCTTCTCACTGACTAGGTGGCCACTTGGGTGAGTTACCTCACCTCTCAGTGTCCTCATGGAAAACGAGGAGGATGGTGTCAGCTTACATCCCAGGGTGACGGGAAGGGCTTAATGAATGATATGAGGTGTTCAGCTCAGTGCCCGATGGGCAGCAGACACTGGACACATGTCAGCCAGTGACGTTATGATTCTATGAGGAGTCTGGAAAGATCACTTGGGCCAATACGAGGCAAGTTAATTTCACTCTTTCTCCTATAAGTTGTATCTGTGTTCCTTAACAATCCCAACTCAGAGTAGTCAGCAGAGACCAAGGAGCGGGTAAGCCCTGGAAACTATGCAGAGTTGAGAGGGTGATAGGGACCATCTCAGGGAGGCTGAGATACAACTGGCGTGGCATGGCGCAGCGTGGTATGGCTCAGCACGGCGTGGTGCAGAAGACAGTGCTGACTTCCAGTCCAGTGCTCCCTGCACTCAGTGTGCACATGAAGCATCTGGGCTTGTGAAAATGCAGTGGGTCTGGGGCGGAGCTGAGGTTCTGTATGTCTGATGAGTGCCCAGGAGATCCCAAGGCTGCCGCTCCTCAGACCATACTTTGTGTAGCAAGGAGGTAAGAGGCCTGAGTTCTGATCCAAGTTAAGCCACTAACGTGCTGACCAAGTCCCTTCAGGCCTCAGAGCCCCTGATCTAGAAGATGGACTTAGTACAGTTCTATCATGAGGTGTTCTCAGGGGACACTTTGCAAAGGACGCGGGTCTTCATTTTCTGGGTCGGATGCAGAAATGGAGATTCAGAGAGGCGAGGAGAGCAGGGCTTTGCCATTAAGCCAGTCCTCCTGGAAGGGCCCCCTCTTCCTGGCTCCTTGCTGTTCAGAGACCCCACCCAGCAAGGCTGGGCTGGAAGGAGGACAGAGACGCCACGGGCTGCCACAGTCTCTGTTGTTCCCCACAGGCACTGTGCTCTCTGACATCATCCAGAAGTACTTCTTCTCCCCAACGCTCTTCCGAGTCATCCGCCTGGCCCGAATCGGCCGTGTCCTCAGGCTCATCCGCGGGGCCAAGGGGATCCGCACGCTGCTCTTTGCCCTCATGATGTCCCTGCCTGCCCTCTTCAACATCGGGCTGCTGCTCTTCCTCGTCATGTTCATCTACTCCATCTTCGGCATGGCCAACTTCGCTTATGTCAAGTGGGAAGCTGGCATCGACGATATGTTCAATTTCCAGACCTTCGCCAACAGCATGCTGTGCCTCTTCCAGATCACCACGTCGGCCGGCTGGGACGGTCTCCTCAGCCCCATCCTCAACACGGGGCCCCCCTACTGCGACCCCAATCTGCCCAACAGCAATGGCTCCCGGGGGAACTGTGGGAGCCCGGCCGTGGGCATCCTCTTCTTCACCACCTACATCATCATCTCCTTCCTCATCGTGGTCAACATGTACATCGCCATCATCCTGGAGAACTTCAGTGTGGCCACGGAGGAGAGCACGGAGCCCCTGAGCGAGGACGACTTCGACATGTTCTATGAGATCTGGGAGAAGTTCGACCCCGAGGCCACCCAGTTCATTGAGTACTCGGCCCTGTCCGACTTCGCCGATGCCCTGTCGGAGCCGCTGCGGATCGCCAAGCCCAACCAGATAAGCCTCATCAATATGGACCTGCCCATGGTGAGCGGGGACCGTATCCACTGCATGGACATCCTCTTCGCCTTCACCAAGAGGGTCCTGGGGGAGTCTGGAGAGATGGACGCCCTGAAGATCCAGATGGAGGAGAAGTTCATGGCTGCCAACCCATCCAAGATCTCCTACGAGCCCATCACCACCACGCTGCGGCGCAAGCACGAGGAGGTATCGGCCACGGTCATCCAGCGGGCCTTCCGGCGGCACCTGCTGCAGCGCTCCGTGAAGCACGCCTCCTTCCTCTTCCGCCAGCAGGGAGGCAGCAGCGGCCTCTCCGAAGAGGACGCCCCTGAGAAAGAGGGCCTCATCGCCTGCAAGATGAACGAGAACTTCTCCCGGCGCCTCGGCCCGCCCTCCAGCTCCTCCATCTCCTCGACATCCTTCCCGCCTTCCTATGACAGCGTCACCAGGGCCACCAGCGACAACTTCCAGGTGCGGGTGTCCGACTACAGCCACAGCGAGGATCTCGCAGACTTCTCCCCATCCCCAGACAGGGACCGAGAGTCCATCGTGTGAGCCCCGCCCCGGCTGGCCAGGACACACTGAAAGGCAGCCCGTTGCCTCGAGGCAAACCCAAGCGCAGCCACAAACCAGCATCCGCTGGGCCTTGCTTGCTTTGGGCTTCAGGGATGAGAGAGGAGCCTCAGCCCCGTGGATGGAAGAGGCCGAGTTCTGTGGCACCCATGTTGGTGGCCGGGAGCAGGTGGCCGAGCCGACCACTAGGGGCGCCCTGTCCCTGGAGGCCCCACACAGACCAGTGGCCAGGTCTGGCCAGGCAACACGCTGGGCCTCGGAGAAGCAACTCACCCCAGCTGTTGGGCAAAATATAAAACCGAGACTGTATATGTTGTGAATGGGCTTTCATAAATTTATTATATTTGATATTTTTTTACTTGAGCAAAAAAAAACTAATGTTTTTTCCGTGGATGTCGGCAGCAACGCACACTGCCCCTTCTGGACTCTGAACAAGGCTGGCTGTGCAGCGGCCGCGGCCCTGTTCTCCGAGCAGAAGTGGAACCCGGCGTGGCTCCCACAGGCCTTCTGCGTGGCTCCAGGGGCAGAAAGGGGCCCCCCTGCCACTTGGGCCCAGGTGCCAGCAGGGCTGAACCCCTTTTCTCATGCACACGTGTGCACACACGCTCACACACACACAGGCCAGCACTGGCCCCCCCGTCGAGTGTGTCAGGCAGCCACCCTGCCCCAGTCCCTGCGGGTGGGGGTCTTGTCAGCAGGGGCTCCCTCCGGCCTCCCATTGTCCCCCAGGTCCTGTTTCCCGCCTGTGTTTTTTAGGCAGGCCCTACGAGGGTCAGTTCTACAGAATGAAAAGGCTTCCAGGAGAGAGTTGCCGGGGTCCCAGGGCTGGTCCGAGGCACTGAAGTTGCCTTGTCTTTCCAGAAGAGCTCGGCCCTCTGTAAACGAGTATTAACGTAACACTGAAGGGCCTGAGGGAGCCAGGCCACGCGCGGCCTGGCACCCGGCTTATTCCTGCTGCCGAACCCATCATAGCCTGCCCCGCTGGCCAGGAAGAAGACTGAGCACCCCGGGGTGGGGGCCAAGAAGCTCGACAGCCCCTAGCCCCTCTGAAGAAAGGACCCTGTTATCATCTCCGGAACTCTCTGCTCTAACTATGGGAGCGACGGGAGCCCCACATGGTCCCCAGCTCCTCTCCAGATGCAGCAGCATGGGCGTAGGGAGGACAGCTTGGGTCCTGTGCAGGGGAGGGGCCTCGGAGGGGCCAGGCCCTGTTCCTGTGCCCTGGGAGGGGGATGGACCGTGGGACCCCTTGGGAAGGGAGTCGAGTGGCCTTGCACCAGCCCCTTGGGCTCAGCTCCGGGTCCTGGTGACACCTGCACCCAGGACCCCCTGGAGGAGGGTCCAGGCTGTCCCACAGGTCTTGTGAGAAGGCTTTTTCAGGGAAAACCACTTTTTCTAGTACAGTTCCCCCAGGGGCCTCTTCAGCTGCTGACAATCCTATTTAGCATATGCAAATCTTTTAATGTAGAGAACTGTCACCCTGAGAGTGACAGCGTTGGCTGCTGGAGCCAGAGCAGGCTGGAGCTCGGCTGCCCGATTCCAGCTCCCCAGCAAGGCTGCCTTCCTCCAGGCCACCCAACCTCACCTCCCGGGCAGCCCAGGCAGCCGGAAGCCGGCTGTTCCTCACCTACCTCGCCGAGCTGCCCGAGGGCTGGACGTTCTGAGCTCCTGGCAGTGCTGACGGCATTGCCAGTGAGTAAAGTATTACATTTCCTCCTGTCACCTCGAGTTCCCGCGGTGGCTCCCCCAGCCCCCACCCCACCGCACCCCCGTGATTTCTCTTCTCCCTAACGTGTTCCCTTTTGAGTCCAGTGTGGGGCGTGGTTTTCACTGTCCCAGTGACACTTCTCCGAGTGGAAATCTTATTTTTGTAGATCTCTGTGCTTTGCTCTCAAGGCTTGGAGCGGCGTGCGCCCTCCCTGCGCTCAGCACGCTGCACGGACAGGAATGTGACCTGGGAGGAGGCCGGGCCGCCAGCCCAGCTGGCCGGAAGGAGGCTGGAGTTGTGTGGACAGCCCGGGAGCCCTGAGACAGGTGCCCGGGGCTGGCTGCTGACAGCGCCAGTGGCTGCGGACGGCGTGGTCGAGGGCAGGGACCAGCTGGACCTGACTCCTTAGCTTTTAGGGTGGTTGTCTCCTTTTTTTTTTTCTAGAACTGCACAATGACCAGCAGGAAGGGAAAAGCGTGGAGGAAAAAGGAGGGAGGGACAAGCACCCAGTGCCAGCTGTTGTCTGAACTAATCGAGCACTTCTCACCAAACTTCGTGTATAAATAAGATACATATTTTTAAAACAAACCAATAAATGGCTTACGTGACCTGCCCCGGGCTCTGTTCTTGCGCCGAGGTTTGACGAGGCCCAAGGAGCCAGCGAGGGGGCCTTGTCCTGGGCAAACCTGGACGGCAGTGGTGTTGCGGGAGCACCGGGTCAGATCCCACGCAGGACTCCCCCCTGTCTTCCCAGGAAGGGGGCGGGTAATGGTGTGGTGTGGGCAGAGCAGTCCACCCCCGCCAGAGGACGCCCCAAGCCATGCCTTCCAGGACTACGGTCTGGGGCACAGCAGAGGGGGGGGACCACGATCTGGGGCTCACACGGTGGGAAGGGTGTGGAAAGGTGGATGAAGGAAGGGGCAGCTGCCTTGGAGAACAGCCAGGTGGTGGCACCTGTGTGTCAAGCCAGGCATGGACCTGTGACACGTGACACTGACGTCCTCACCCTCACCTCCCCCACACGCCTCAGTCCATAGCCTCTCTGCTGCCCCAGCCCCCACCTAAAGCTCCCCGCCAGCCAGCAGGGCCTTCTCCAACCTCATCTCGTGGGTTCTGTCCATCCACAGCATTTAACTCAGTGGACGGCGGCCCCTCCTGGAGACCCTCTCTTCCCCAGGCCACTGTGGCGCCACCCCTCCAGGGTGTCCCTCAGTCTCTTGTAGAGGGGCACACTTCCCAGTGTCGGACTGAATGATCAAGCTCCTTAGGCCCTGGGCCCTCTCCCGAGAAGAGAGTGGAAACACCCTCTCACCCCCGGCCATGCTTTAAAGAAGAGTCTGCACTCTGTACCTGGCTGGAGGCCGGGCCTCGCCACGGAGCCCCAGGCCAGCACAGCAGGCGGTCTGCTGAGGGCGTGTCCAGAGCTTCTGGCCCTGGCTCATCGGTCTCAACCCCCAGCCGAGCCCGCAGGGGCAGGTACCCCACGGGTGCCCCCTTCAGCCGCAGGCTTTCCCTCACCCCTCCCCCCGTCCCAAGCCTGGTTGCCACTATGTTCTCAGCATCTGTAAGGCCCCACCACGGGTCTGTCTTGCTGCTGCTGCTTCCCTGGTGGGGCCAGCATCTTGCCTGGCGGCTGCCCTTCCTCCAACCTCGGCTGCTCCACCCGACGCAGCTACCAGATCTAATCCGAGGTTGTTGCTTCCTGGATAAAACCCGCCAGTGGCTTCCTGCTGCCCCAGGACCCAGGCAAACCCCTCGGGGCCTCCAGCCCTGCCAACCTCGGCAAATGTGTGTCTCTCTAACCCCTCCAGGGCCAGGCTCTTCCTCCTCTCAGCCTCGCCAGCTGCTGCACCCGCCTCCCAGAGCGCCCCTCTCCTTTCCACACAGCCCTCAGGCCTCACTTTGACGTCCCCTCCTCTGGGCGCCCTCCCTGACCACCACTCCACCCCTCCCCCACCACTCCCTTGTCACAGGGCTTATCGCTTCTCAGCGCGAACACCTGCAAAGCCCGTGTGTAAACAAACATGACCCCCGGAGTCGTCAGCCCAACTTTTATTTTTGTCCCTCCCTGTCCCTCTTGGCTTCGCTCGGTGCAGATAATCTTCCCCGGCCCTGGTTGGGAACCCGGCGGATCCTGGCTTTCCAGCTCAGTCGTGGGGAAAAGAACAGCCACCTGCAGTCACTTGACCTTGGAAATAGTCTCAGGCTCGTCATTAGGGTGCCCGGTCCCAGGAACATTCGGTTGCTAGGGTGGCCGGGCAAGCAGCCCCTCCCTCCGGGCCAGGAAGGGGCCAGGGGGACTGTCCTACAGGCCTCTGGGAGCTTTCTGAAGACTCATGGGTGCATGGGTGTGCTCCCTGCAGATTGCTCAGCCCGAGAGATGCACCATTTTGGGGGTGCCCCCATGACCCCTTCCTTTGCCCCTGGCACCTGTGAGTCCACCCCCAGCCTCTTCCTGCCAAGGCCCTCTGCCCTCCAAGGGGTCCTGTCGTGGTGGCATGTGCAGCCCCCTCTCGGCCAGCCTCCTCTAGTCACAGGCAGCACCCAGAGCTCTCGCCCCCGCCGCAGCGCGCTCCACAGACACCACCGGAGCAGCTGGCCCCACACCCTCTCTCCCGGTCCCAGGGCGAGTCAGGACCCTGCCACCCGTCCACCTGAGTGTCGTTTAGGCCAAGTGAGGCCCAGGCCTCCCCACCCCCAACCTGTCCAAGCTCTCCTAGAAGGCCCTGGAAGCCTGCTCGCACAGGCGTGGGCTAGGAGGCCCCACCAGCCTGCCTACAGGCTCCGCTCCAAGGGAAAGCAACAGGGTCCTGGAATCTCTGGACACTGTTCTCCAAAGAAACCAGCCAACGGTTCCTAGGCCCTCCCCTCTCTTGGACCCCTTTTGACGTGTGACTGGATGTGACTGCAGGTCCCAGCGTCTAGCACCACTTCCCTTGTAAACAAGCCGCATAGGAGATACTTGCTGCTTGGTCTCCTGAATCCCTTGGTTTTAGTCCTTTGGTCAAAACTGGGGCAGGGCCCTGGCTGGTGTGGCTCTGTGGATTGAGTGCAGGCCTGCGAGCCGAAGGGTCGCTGGTTCAATTCCCAGTCAGGGCACATGCCTGGGCTGCAGGCCAGGTCTCCAGTTAGGGGCACATGAGAGGTAACCACACTGATGTTTCTCTACCTCTCTTTCTCCCTCCCTTCCCCTCTCTAAAAATAAATAAATAAATAAATAAATAAAATATTTTTTTAAAAAACCGGGGCAGGGACAGTCCATTTTAACCTTCTGTGACACTTGTTTGTCTTTACCCAATGACACTGGGGCTTTTCAAAGGGCACCTTTCAGTGTAGCAGGTCATATCCAGTGCAGCAGGTCAAAGCCAGCTTTTATAAAAGGAGTATCAGCCCTGGCCCGTGGCTCAGTGGGTCAGAGCATCGTCCTGTGCACTGGAGGTTGCGGGTTCAATCCCAGCCACAGCACATACCTAGGCTGTGAGCTTGATGCCTGGTCAGGGTGCGTAGGGGAGGCAACCAATCAATGTCTCTCTCTCTCTCTCTCTCACACACACACACACACACAATCAATACACATATCCTCAGGTGAGGATTTAAACAAAGGAATATCATAATTGACAACAGCTGTGTGTTCCATGTGGCAAGGAGGAGAGCGGTTTTGTGACCCTGCTGTTTCAGGTACACACAAACCCTGGGTGAGCACCCGGACAGTGGCGGGAGATAGATTTCTTATTGGAAATCCCAGTGAACAGGCAGACACAGCAAGAGGACAAGGTCTGTGTCTGCTTTGCTCACCGACACAGCTGGGACTTAGGGCAGCCACTCAGCACCGGTGTGGGGAGTGGGTGAGGGGCGGGCAGGAGCTGTGTGCCCACCACGAGGCTGAGGAGGAGGGGCCAGGCTGCTTCTCTCACAGGCTCCAGGACGTGGCACCGTGCCAGCGCCCACATGGTGGCTTCCCCGTCGTTCTCAGGGCCAAGGGGTGAAGTCTGGAGTTCTCGGGCATCCCCTGGGGTCTTCCCTGGCTGCCCGAGAAGGGTCTTTCCCTGGCCTGGGGAGCGGCGGGCTCATCTGGAGGGGGGCAGGAGCGGGGCTTTGTACTCAGAGCAATGCCAGAGCTGTCACCGGCTGCTCTGGGGTGAGGCTGGGGTCCAGGTGGCGGCAGCTCTGTGAGGGACGGACGTCGGCTCCTGTGTCAGCAGGAAGGCATGTGGCCCAGGGAGCTCAGCCTTTGGCAGGGAGAGAGATGCTCCTGGACAGACGTCAGCTGTCACCCTGGGGCCGCAGCGCTGGCAGCTCCCTTGCCCCGTGCCAGTGGCCCCTCCGCCTGCCAGCCCCAACAGCCACGAGACTCGGAGCGGAGGCCGGGAGGGGCAGGGGACGGAGCACAGGCGCTCCTACAGGCGGACCTGGGACTGCAAAGGAGAGTGAAGAGCCGCCGCTGATGGCTCAGGGAGCCCGGGACTCGTGTCTGACGCCCCGGTGGCCTCTTGCAGCCATCTGTGCTGGTGCGGCGGCTCCGCAGCTCGAGGGCTCTGAGCCCACTGCATGGCCGGCTGGCCTCGAATCTGGGAGTGGGCGAGGCCAGGCCAGCCGGGCCATTGAACCTCGCTCTCCATCCCACCACTGCGCCTGCCAGAGACTGGGAGCTGAGAACGTTTGCAGAAGAGACAACCCAGTCAATTCGCTGTCCGCTGAACTCACCTGGATCCTCTCCTCCAGCTGAGCCCATCCTGTCCTCTGAGGTCAAACGCCCCTTTTCTCACCAGCAGTCCCCCTGACACACCTGTTTCTTCTGGAAGGTCAGACACAGGACCCTTTGAGATCCTCACCTACTGGGAGACACGTGCAGATTCACACACATACACTCTCCAGGCTCAGGAAGGAGGCTTCCTGCTAGGGAGGGGGAGGGGCACGACCCCAAGGAGATGTCCTAAATCTCAAGAACGAACCTCAAGCTTTCTGCCCCAACCCCCCTTGGACCAGGGGCCTTAAGACCTTCCCAGGGACAGAGGCAGGCAGACAGGCCCGAGAGGATGTCATTCAGAGACGACACTCAAAAGCTGGTGGCTGCCAAGCCTTGGGGAGGGTGGGGGATCCCTATGAGAGGGACGCTGGGAGCCCCGCTGGGGCCCCAATCCCCTGCGGTGTCCTAGGTCAGAGGCCCGGCCCGGCCAGCCTGAGCCCAGCACGTGTAATGACCACGCCGACAAGCACTTCCTCCCACGCCAGCTCACAGGGCTGGCATCCTGGGCAGCCGCCAGGCACCTGCTGCCGAAGACAAAAACCCCGTCATCCCCGCCTTTACCAAGAGACAGACTGGCTCGGATTCCAGAAATGCACAGCACAGGTCGAAGCAGAGCCCCTCTCCCCGGACGTGGGCTGACAGGCAGGCAGTATGTCCTGGCTCCCACACTGAGCTGTGCCCAGCCTCCTTGGCCAGAGGCTTGGGGAGTGGGTGCTGGGGTTCTAGTTGTGACTGGCTAGGAGGGGCCTGAGCTTGCCTCCAGTATTTGTCCTTGGAGCCGTGTCTCCTGGGGGACCGTCTGTCTGTCACTCACCCCCTCAGGAGGCACCCCCTCTTCCTGGAAGGCCAGGGACCGTGCTG